ACGGGCGACGGGGGGGGGGGGGGGGGCGTTTCGACGGGCGACGGGGGGCACTTCGACGGTGGGAAACCGCCGCGCGCCTCGGGGCGCACGGTAGGCAGAAAACCGCCGCACGCCCCGAGCGTACGGCAGGAAGGAGGCGTCGCGCGACCGAGGCGCGCGACAAGTAGAACAGCAGCGGAAGCATTAGGTGGTGGGCCCACCCACAGGATCGACCCAAGGGGGTCGACCTGCTCTGATAGCATGTCAGAAGTAGTAGGAGAAAGTTTAGAAGCAGAAAGAGGGTTTGGACTAGCAGCAGTTGAGATACAAATAGCAAACCCTAGATTGGGCTGTACTCGCTATAGAGTACCCCACTGCAGGCTAGACAAATACAACATTCTGACATGCATGTGTGCGTGTGCGTGTGCGTGTGCGGTGCGCGTGTGCGGTGCGCGCGTGCGTGCGCGCGTGCGTGCGTGCGCGCGTGCGTGCGTGCGTGTGTGCGTGTGTGTGTGTGTGTGCGTGTGTGTGTGCGTGTGTGTGTGTGTGTGTGTGTGTACACGCGCGCGCGCATGCTATCGGAGTCGGCTATGGTTCTGGCGCACATGCTATTGTAGTCGGGGCAGTTTTAATGGAAAACCTCACACCCAACTGCCGGGTTCAGGAAAAAGTAGTAAACTGCACAACTGTTGTCCTCGCATCTCCCCATTTTTTTTGCGTGCCGTTCACCCAGCCCGCATTTGTTGGAGTAGAAGACTATTGTGAACTCCCCCTTTTTTTGTATTTTCGTACAGGTTTCGATCGAGCATCAATCCATATGCCTTTACCCATCACAGGGTAGGCATGTGTTCACCCTCGTTATTCGGCCAAGTTAGGCACGTGCGTCGGAACCAGTCCTTGGTGGGGATGGTGAGGTTTGGGCGTCGTCAGGTCGCAAGTCGTTTCCACTGGCTTTTAATCTGCTCCCCACTTCGTTATCCAACCCCCACTTAGCCGCCGTACAGTTTCTTTCCGTGTGATTCGGTGGCATATACCATGCTCCTCTGAAATTGGTGGGGTGATACTTTAGACGCTGTTTAACCATGGGTTGTTGGGGCTGTTCTCGGAAACACCTTCCTGTACAAGTAACCCGCTCTCAAAATTTCGTGCATGTGCCGACGCAGGTCCACTAACGCTAGCTGCCACACAAATGACTCTGAAATTATTGGAGCGGAATGTGTCTCAACAGCTACAGCTGTCCGTTTCCTGGAGGAAGGGAGGTCACGGTCGATCGCGGCCGCTCAAGGCAAGGATCCGGCGGTGCCATAGAATGCCCCGTAGGTTTATGCCAGACATCCTTCCTCCTCCTTTTCCCCCCCCTTTCAAGGGGTAGTACACTCGAAAAAGCAGGGTAGGCTAGGAAAGTAAATCTGACACAATGTGTTATGAATGAAGTTGAAGAGTGAGCAGAATAAAGAACAACTAGAATGTCGAATACTGAATGACGATACAATGAAAGTGAGAGTGACTAAATAGGGGAAAACCTAGCTAGGCGGGGTCTGAGGTCGGGCGAATGTGGCTCGGAAAGGTTGAGATTTGGGCGGGGGGCGACTCGGGTGTTGTTTTGTTGCGGAAATGTAGGGCGAACCATCTGACGCGTGGCCCTCAGGTTGTACTCGCTAGTAAGGAATTACAATTCACAATTTTCATCCTGCACCCTCACTATTTTCCTGCTGGTCCTTGTATCTTATGCTGTACCCAGTCAAACTCGATGTGTAAACCAAGGCTATACTACACTCGGCGACGCGAGTAGGAATCTACCACGTGGCTGCGGACCAGTAGGAGTCGATGCTCCCGTAGGGCTCCCCGGTGAAAGGAAGCCATGATTCGAGCCTCGCTCCTCCTCCCCGCTTCCGCAAATCCCACTCACGGCGGAAGCACCGCGACCGCATTCGCGAACAAGCGCGCGCTTTTTCCCGCTCCAGCCGCTGCTTACGCTTCCGCCGCCGCCTGCGTGGACGCTTCCGCCGTTCCGCGCGCGACGCTGCTGCGGAAATCGGACGCTGGGGTGAGCGGAGACGGGTGTTGGGAAGGCAGGAAGGTGCGCGGTGGCGGGCGAGGGGGGCAGTTATCGCGGATAAGCCGGGGATCTTCGGCGTTCCGAAAAGCCGCGGGCAGCGGAATAATTGGAATGATTGACTCTGCTGCTGGTAATATCTGGCTCAAAAGCAGGGGCTTCAAACGGGGTGAAAGAGGTGCTTTTAGCGGGAAAGATGCTCGCACTAGTTCAAAGGAGTCTTGGCGGTTTGACCATACCAGCGGTGGTAGCAAGGGGCGTTCCTCCGTTTCAGTCACATGCTCTGCGGGAGGATCGCCCTCGCTTGTAACACCAGCCGACACGTCAGACTCACCCCGTCAGATCTCGATCCTCTTTGCCGCCGGCGGCACGGGCGGCCACGTGTACCCTGCCATCGCCATCGCAGACGCCGTCAGATCCCGCGATCCAACGGCCGAGATCAACTTTGTCGGAACCAGGGAGCGAATGGAATGGACGGCTGTCCCGCGTGCAGGCTACCAGATCCATCCAATCCCAGCCGTCAGTATCCGTCGGCCGCTCCTCACCACCCTCTCCAACCTCCTCGTACCGTTCCGTTTCCTCCGCGCGTTCTGCCTCTGCGTGCTCTTAATCTGGAAATTAAAGCCCGACGTAGTGGTCGGCACAGGAGGGTACGTGTCCGCGCCGACTTGCCTATCAGCCGCGATCTGTCGCGTACCTCTCGTGTTACAGGAGCAGAACGCATTCGCGGGGATCGCCAACCGCCTGCTCGCCCGCTTCGCCAGAATCGTTTTCGTCGCCTTCGCCGTCGCCCAGAGGTTCTTTCCAACCGCGCGCTGCCACGTGGCAGGGAACCCCACGCGCGCGGTGCTGCGATCTGTGAGGGAAATGCGGGAAGAGAAGCGGGAAGAAGCGATTAATTACTTCTTCCCACGTGTCGCAGCTGACGCTGCTGGGGCAACAGAAGGAGTAGCAGGAGGAGCAGCAGGAGGAGGAGCAGCAGGAGGAGCAGCAGGAGGAGCAGCAGGAGGAGCAGCAGGAGGAGCAGCAGCAGGAGGAGCAGCAGGAGCAGCCGGGCAGAGAGCACAGGTGGTGCTGGTGCTGGGGGGCTCGCTGGGAGCACAACCCATCAACACAGCCGTCGCAGGCGCGCTGCAGCGGCTGCTAGATGGGCCCAGTGGTGTGGAGTGCGGTGCTGAGAGGCTGGACGGTGTGCAGAATGGTGGGGAGGAGGGAGAGAGGGGCGGGCGCAGGGAGGTGCTGGTGATATGGCAGGCGGGCGCACGGCATGTGGAGGAGATGAGAGCTCTCCCCATCGTTGCACATCCCCGCGTCTCCCTCTTGCCGTGAGGTCTCTTCTCTTCTCCTGCTTCCCTCTCTCTCTTCTCCTGCTTCCCTCTCTCTCTTCTCCTGCTTCCCTCTCTCTCTTCTCCTGCTTCCCTCCCTCTCTTCTCCTGCTTCCCTCTCTCTCTTCTCCTGCTTCCCTCTCTCTCTTCTCCTGCTTCCCTCTCTCTCTTCTCCTGCTTCCCTCTCTCTCTTCTCCTGCTTCCCTCTCTCTCTTCTCCTGCTTCCCTCTCTCTCTTTTCCTGCTTCCCTCTCTCTCTCTTCTCCTGCTTCCCTCTCTCTCTCTTCTCCTGCTCCCCCCTCTCTCTTTTCCTGCGTCCCTCTCTCTCTTCTCCTGCTTCCCTCTCTCTATTCTGCGTCCCTCTCTCTCTTCTCCTGCTTCCCTCTCTCTATTCTGCTTCCCTCTCTCTCTTCTCCTGCGTCCCTCTCTCTCTCCTTCCGCGTCCCTCGCTCGCTCCAAGTATGCCCCCATTTCAGGTGAGAGATTTCTCACAATCCTCTTTCATGCTATGCGTCTCTTTTCAAACATTTCTTGCTCCAAAACCCCACTTTCTCCTCTCTTTTGCATCTGCTTTCAAATGCCTCTCAACCCCTCCGTTCCCAAGTCTTCTCCCTTTGTCATTCCCCGCCGTTCCCAAGTCTTCTCCCTCTGTCATTCCCCTCCGTATCCTCACCCCCCCTTTCCACGTGCCCCTCTTTTCCCCCACCATCCCCACCCATGCCGCTTCTATAACACGATACCCCATGGTGCACGGAGGCAGGTTTGTGGATCGAATGGACCTGGCATATGCAGCAGCAGATGTGGTGGTGGCGCGTGCCGGAGCCGTCACTTGCTCTGAGCTGCTCGCCACTGCCACGCCCTGCATTCTGGTACTTGCACTCGCCCTCACACTCGCACTCACACTCGCACTCACGCTCTCACTCACACTCGCACTCACAGTCTCACACTCGCACTCACACTCGGACTCACACTCGCGCTCACATTCACACTCACACTCGCACTCAACTCGCACTCACGCTCGCACTCACACTCACGCTCGCATTCACACTCGCACTCGCACTCACACTCGCACTCACACTCGCACTCACTCACACTCGCAGTCAATCGCACTCACGCTCGCATCGCACTCACTCTCGCACTCACGCTCGCACTCGCACTCGCACTCGCTCTCGCACTCACACTCGCATTCACACTCGCACTCGCGTTCGCATTCGCACACCTTTTTGAGGTGCCACAGAAATTGTCGCGCCGTGCATATTGGTGCTCCCAGTCGCACTCATGCACGCGTGTGTGTGAGTGCGTGTAATTGAAGGCAGAATTTCTCCTTGCCCTTCGTCACTCTGTCACCTCACACCTTATCCCATGCACAGATCCCATCACCGCATGTGGCAGAGGACCATCAGACCGTGAATGCACGAGCCATGGTGCAAGCAGGGGCGGCTGTGATGCTGCCTCAGGACCAGCTCTCCCCAGACACTCTCCTCTCTGCTGTCACCGACCTGCTTGGTAAAATCCGTGATAGTCGTCGATTTCTTACATGGGTTAAATTGCGAGATGCCTTGAGTTTTGACACGTCACAAGACTCTGCTTTTTCGTGCTGCTTGGTTATCACAGTGTCCCCTGCTCTTGCCCTTGCCCTCCACAATCTTTGTACACTTCTTGATCTTCATGTTAAAGCATTGTATTGAGTAGCCATTTTCCACTCATACGAAGCGCATTTCAAGAGCTTTTGCTTGGAAACCGTCTTATCCCCCCCTTTTCCCCTCCCCACCCCCTTTTCTTCTCCCCATGGGCAGCGGATGGAGCAAGGAGGGAGAAGATGAAAGAGTGTGCTGCGGCTGCTGCCACTGCTGATGCTGCTGACGTCATGGCCCAGGAGGTGCTTCGGCTGGCACTCCAGCAGCAGCAGCAGCACAGAAAGCCCAAGGCTAAATTTGCATAAAGAATTCTGATTGACGCAGTTTTTGCACAGAACTGCTGCGGTGATATTGTAGTGTACTGTATTCCCTGGTCCTCCTGCAGAAGCGACCCTGGATCGCTTTTGGGTGGTGTGGTGTGTTGGTAGGTACAGAACGACTGGTGGTAGGTACCACTCACAGAGAGCGCGTATGGCGGTCTGCCATGCCTGCCATGCACACATGACATGCTAGACGTCCCACTTATTTTCCATTGCCACCTTTCCACCGTTAACTCTTGTCTTTCGCATTTTCCCACTCCAGGTACGCACTTGGAGTTTCTCTGTCTTATTGCCATTCCCAGTCAACCTCTCATTGCTATTCAAGCTGCCAACTTCCTTCCCACTGACATGTTCCAACTCACATTCCCCACATGCCTGCCATGCCTACCATGCCTGCCATGCCTACCATGCCTGCCATGCCTACCATGCCTGCCATGCCTGCCATGCCTGCCATGCCTGCTAACCAACTAGCATCACCCGGCACTGTGCATGTCACCACGCGTGCCCATGAGCGTGCTCCAAGTGTGAGCATGCCTGGGTACACAAGGCGCTATGGCTGCAACTTTGGATTTGGACCAACGGAGAAGGGGGTGGGAGCAGGCCACTGGTGTGTGCTGGTTGAAATGACATCTCCGCTTGATTGATGCAATGTAGCAGTTCCATAAGCTGACTTCACTATGGAGGTCAATTTGCTTCTTGCATAGCTGTCGGAACTGAAATGAAATTGTTGAAGGGAGGGATGTACTGGTGGTGAGGTACGGTAAATAGAAAATTCTATGATTTCATAAAGTACTTACATTGTGTATCACACAGCGGTGAGCTTGGTAACAATAGAGTTTCAGATTCGTTACCATTTTCAAAGCATGTCATTGTCTGTTCGACTTTTGGATAAGAAATCTGTTAGAATCTAAGGCAAGGATGATGAGATTAGGTCAAGGTGGGGTACAAGAGTAGAGTGTCGAGAGAAATGTGTGTACCCCCTAAGGCTATCCCCAATATAGCCTAGATATAATATGCATATGTTTTGACACACCCCCATAGGCGAAATGGGGGATAGCCAGAGCAAGCAACGGTCACAAGACCAGTCAAGAGACAAAAACACAGCTCAGGGTGGATCACAACGTCACCACTCCCACTGAGCACAAGCAAACGGCCACAGGGCCAGTCCACATGCAGAGGTATATAAGCAACAAGAACAGTACAGTGATCTCTAGCTAGCAAGAGCCAACATGCAGGTATATATATAGATCACAGTACAAACAAGGGCTACAGCAAGTGTGGAAACGTCGGAACAAGGCCAAACAAAGTACAAAAGCGCTGATGATCACCAGACGGAAGTGCCTTGGTGAATATATCAGCCGTGGCTGTGGCGTAGATCTCAGCCTCACAACTAGAGCTGAGAACTGAAGACGAGCGAGTAGAACGCCAAGAAACTGAACCAGAGCCAAGGCTGAAGGTGTAACCCTCTGACGACCGCTGCGTAGCCTGGTCGTCAACCCAAGAAGCGTCTGAGTGCCCAGTGAGAACAACTGGGCTCCTCCCACCAAGCACTAGCCCCATGCCTGATGTACTGCACAAGTAGCGCAGTACCCTCTTAGCAGCAGCCATGTGCTCAGGTCGGTGCCGACTAGGAGCCACGTAGCGAGCCAGAGGACGAGTGCAGGTCATCAGGTACATGAGGCAGCCAACTAGCTCTAGGTAAGGACCACTCGGCTCTACGGACTCGTCCGAAGGTGGAGCTGAGAGTGAGTGACCTGTCGCCAGAGGAGTGGCCTGTGCTGAGGACCAGGTGAAGCCGAAGCGCTGAAGGACCTGCTGCACCATGTGTGACTGAGTCAGAGTGATGGTGCGGCGTGCTCTGTCCCGGGTGATCTGCAAGCCAAGGTAACTGCGCAGCTCACCCAGGTCTGTGCACATGTGTCTCTTCTGCAGCTCGGACTTCACCAGGGCAAGAGCCTCAGTGTCAGCAGTGGCAAAAACCAAGTCGTCGACGCACACGAGGATGTAGAACGGCGGCAGTGAAGTGTCGGTGCGCAGAAACAGCGACGGGTCAGCAGTAGAAGGCGCGAACCCAAGAGCCGCAAGCGTAGTCCTCAGTGTGTCGTGCCACTCACGTGGCGCCTGGCGGAGACCGTAGACCGGCCGCCGGAGGCTCCACTGGGTACCAGGAGGGAACGACCCAGTGAAGCCCGGGGGGCGGCGCAGCCAGATCTCCTCGTTCAGTCTGCCCTGCAAGAAAGCTCTGCTGAAGTCAAGTGAGTGAAGCTCGTAGTCACGGTGAGCGGCAACGTGCAGCAGCACCCGAAGAGTGGTCATCTTCGGGGTGGGGGAGAAGGTCTGGAAGAAGTCAACTCCCTCTCGCTGACTGAAGCCTCGAGCAACGTACCGAGCCTTGAAGACGGGCGGAGAACCTGGCGGCCGCTTCACCCTGAAAATCCACATGCCACTGACGATGTTCGCCCCAGGAGGGGGAACCTCGTCGACGTAAGTGCCAGTGGACTTCCAGGATGCCATCTCTGCGTCCATGGCTGTCTGCCACTGAGAGGAGTACTCACCCGCGATCGCCTCAGCGTAAGAGCGCGGGGTCGGGATGTCTGGTGCATCCGGGTCTCCCTCAGGGGCAAGCAGCATGGCCACGAGATGAGGCACAGCGGCTGCAAGACACTCAAGGTCCTCGTGCCTGTCCTCAAGGACGTCCATGCTAAGAGCACACTCACCCCCGACGGACGGAGGACAGACAGACTCAGACTCAGCAACAAGACTAGCGGCGTAGTCTAGACGACAAGCAGCAGCAAAGTCAACAAGCTCAGCGACCAAGGCAGACGCAGCAGCAGACTCAAACGACGGGTCAGTGACAACAGTGGCTAGTAGACGCGTGACTGTAGGGTGGTCAGCACGAAACCGGTCAGACGCAGGGTCCGGAACGGCAGGCAGAGAGGACGCAGGGGGAGACGGCAGGGGAACAGACTGCGGAGCAGAGGGAGGACGACGGACAACAAGGTGTGCACTGGGGACAGTCGGCTGACGTGGACGAGAAACACGACGACCAGTACGACCAGAACGAACAGGCGAGACTGGACGCGACGCAGGCGCACGACGCTCAGCAAGACTACCTGTCTGCTCAGTGTAAGGAGAGGGAGCAGGCAGCGGTGAGCCAGGCTGTAACAGAAGACCAGTAGACGACGGGAGAGTAACAACCTGACGAAGAGCAGAGTCAGGCGGTGGCAGAGACGACGGAGATGGCGGAGCGAAGAACAGTCGTGTCGGCGCAGCTGCACCAGCACCAGCAGCTCCAGCAGCTCCAGCACCTCCAGCAGCTCCAGTGCCTCCAGCAGCTCCAACACCTCCAGTAACTCCAGTAGCTCCAGTGCCTCCAGCAGCTCCAGCAGCTCCAGTCGCAGAACCGGTACCTCCAGCGGTAGCACCACCAGAACCAGCGGCACCAGCAGCAGCACCCCCAGAACCGGCACCTCCAGCCCCAGGGTCTCCAACCGCAGGGTCTCCCGCAGCAGCACCCCCAGAACCAGCACCTCCAGTCCCAAGGTCCCCAACCGCAGTGCCTCCCGCCGCAGCACCCCCAGAACCAGCACCTCCAGTCCCAGGGTCTCCAACCGCAGGGTCTCCCGCAGCAGCACCCCCAGAACCAGCACCTCCAGTCCCAGGGTCCCCAACCGCAACGTCTCCAGCAGCAGTACCCCCAGAACTTGCAGCTCCAGCACCCCCAGCAGTAGAGCCCCGGGCTCCAGCAGCGCGACGCTGACGGCGACCGTACCAGTCGTGTAGCTGCTGAGGGGTGAGAGGCACACGCGGACGAAGGCGGCCACTCCAAGTAGGCCGCGCACCAGCAGTCCCAGTACCCTCAAGCGTCTCACCGCCAGACTCAGCACCCCCAGACTCCGCACACACAGGCTCAGTACCCCCAGACTCCGCACCCCCAGGCTCAGCACCCCCAGACTCCGCACCTCCAGGAGCACCACCCCCAACAGCACCAGAGTCAACAGTAACCGGCTGCAGAGGCGGCGAAGACGGTCGCGGCGGGAACCCTGGAGGGGTCTCCAAGCGTGGTGCACGGCCGAAGGCCGCCGGGGCGTCAGCAGCAACGTCACCCCCCTCAGGTGGGCCAGAGGTGTCAGAAGTGACCTCCAAAGGCTCAGCCAAGGGGGGGGGGGTCTACCTGAGACACACCTGAAGGAGCCGTACCCTGAGGGGGGAGGGGGTCTACCGGGGGGGGACCTGGCGTAAGGAAGAGCGGCGGGGGGGGGAAGGGGGGCAGCGCGGTAGGGGAAGAGACGGTAGTACGGAACCGACTCGTCAAACGTGACGTCCTGGGAGGACAGAACACGGCGCGAGGTGGGGTGGTAAAACTGCCAACCAGGCGCGTCAAGGGGGAAGCCAAGGAAGACGCAGGGAATAGCACGGGAGGACATCTTGTCCGCAGACAAGTCTCGGACAAAAGCCCGAGATCCCCAGACACGGAACGCAGACGCATCGCCAACCTTCCCCGTCCACAACAGAGTGGGGGAGGTCCCCGGCATGGAGACCCGGGGCT